ACACACAAACAACACATGTACATGCATACAAACGACATCGACACATAAAAATATGTACATATAACACATAAAAATGAGAAAATAGGGAATCTTCGGCAAAATCCCTCGCTGATCCCTCGCAGATCAGCGAGGGATCTGCGAGGGAATTGGTAAAAGTCAGATTCCCTCGCTGATCAGCAAGGGATCAGCGAGGGATTTTGCCGAAGAAATTTCCCTCGCAGATCAGCGAGGGATCAGCGAGGGAATTGCCAAAAAACTAATTCCCTCGCTGATCCCTCAACGAGGGAAAACATCCCTCGCAGATCAGCGAGGGAATTGCCCAAAAACTTATTCCCTCATTGATCCCTCGCAGATCAGCGAGGGATCAGCGAGGGAATGTATTTTTGGTATTTTCCTCGCTAATCCCTCGCTGATTTGCAAGGGATGTTTTCCCTTGCTGATGTTCGTCGCTGATACCTGGTTTTCTAAAAGTGTATATTTTGAAACAGATAGATTGGATTTTTCTTTGTAAAAATCTTGTAACTATTTGTATTGATCCAAGAACAAAAAAACCTTCAACAAAATCAAAGGCTAGTTGAAGTGAGGTCGAGATTCTCACAAACAAATTGGATTCTCATCTAACTGAAAGAAGATCAATACAAGATAAAGTCAAAACTAGTTTGACAAATACTATTTCTAGCAAGCCGAAATTAGAGTGAAAACTTGTCTAGCTAATTTGGGTCACCAACTCTACCAACTTGCATCCTGATGTGGGAACATCCTTGACATGTCATACAAAGTAAGTTCTAAAGTACTTCATCCGTCCTAAAATAAGTGTCCACAATTAAAATGACATACAATTTTAGGCATGCATAATTATTATACTTTTTGGTTAACCAAATGACATCTTTGCCCTTATTTAATTTCTCTCTCTTCACATATTTGTGCACTAATTAAGGTTAAATTTGATAATTTGGTTATTTACTTTTGAAAGTGCATACTCATTTTGAGATAAATATAAATAGAAATGTAAACACTTATTTTAGGACTGTGAGATTACTATTTTAATAGTTCCATACTTCTTTTCCTGTTCCATCTGCATACAAAAGGATGAGTTGGATTAACAAGTGTTTACACCAACTTCAAAGGCTGAAATAGAGGGTATAAGCATGTGTGGATAAGCGAATCATATAAAGGCATACGTTAAAGTTGGACAACAATATTTAATGCAATGGTGGCTATAGTAAGACACCCTTGTCTTTCATTACTACTCAGCCGTTTTGACATAACTTCTATGTTATAGTTTCTTAGGAAAACCGTCGTCAATATCTAAATAATTATCTTAGTTCTTCAGATATGAAAGAGTACTTTCTTCTTTCATTCTCTCAGTGTCAGCAAATATGTCAATAATCAAATTATTTAGGATCACATGTATTACCTTCCTAGCCTGCACTAGAAATATGTAATTCTTTGTTTTAATACAAAATATAGAATTAATAGTGAAAAATTTGTTGTGTTTTTATTCAAATCTCATTTTACAAACACACCGCTCACCCTGTGTTAGTCATTATTATCTAGGACCAATAGTGAAGGATACTTCACTTTGAAGGTATAATTATAATCCAAATTTGTGAATTACATGATAGCTTAGTAACATAACGTTGAGGAGGTCCTCTATATCATTTTTACATTGATTTAGAAATGATAAGGTTGAGAAAGTGAAAAGAAATTATGTATGGGTGTTGTTGGAAAACATCAAAGAAATTATAAATGTATACGCTTTTCGGAAAATCCATAGTAAATCAAACGCATACTGAAATTAGGTGTATGATACATTTGGGAAAGCTTACACATCTCTATGAGATGGATATAACTCGAGTTGGTTCTAAGTTGGTCAAATTACCATTCTTTGAAATTGGCTGGATTTTAGACATGCGCAACAAGGTGATTTTTTAAATAGATTAATTATAACTACGATTGAAACGATTCTTAAATATCTAAAATAAGCAGAGATTGATCTAAAACTTAATTCTAGATATTGCATTCGAAAACCTTTTGGAGGTGTTACCCTTCCTAGTTTCCGTGTATAAATCTCCCACACCCTTTTCTCCCTTCATACTTTATATTTCCATGTATATTCTGTTCGCGTGTTCGTTTTCTTTATTAATAACCGACTTATGTAAAGCAAACATTTTATTAGCTGTGTCGATCCACTTTGCATAAAAACAATGTTAGCAACATGCGTTATTTACTTTGATCTTTGAGGGTTGATTTTTGAACTAAAGTTCAACATTTTAGTGTTAATTGTGAGTTCAATTGTATGGAATTTCACAAAAGGTGATTCAATATGTGAATAGAAAATTTTAAACTTTGATTGGAAATATATTTTTATTTTACTAAATAGAAAGTAAAACAAATTTCATTGTATTTTACTTCATTATAATAAAATCGGTTTTTTAGGACACTTTCAAATTCTAAGTGTCATAATAGACCACTTTATAAGACTTAGTTTATAGGAAAATAAATAAATAAAGTGTCCTGTCTAAAGGTATTGTAATAAGTTTATATGACGTTTTTTGATGTCGTAATAAGTTTTTTAGGACACTTTTAATATAAAGCGTCCCATTATCAACTTTATAGAACACTATTTGAAAAATTGTCCTATAAAAAATTGAGTTTATAGGATACTTTCTAAAAAATGTCCTATAAAGTTGATAATGAGACGCTTTATATTAAAAGTGTCATAAAAAACTTATTACGACGTCAAAAAACGTCATATAAACTTATTACAACACCTTTAGATAAGACACTTTTTTTTTTTGGTCCTATAAACTAAGTCTTATAAAGAAGTTTATTTAGGACACTTAGAATTTAGAAGTGTCCTATAAAACCGATTTTATTGTAGTGCTTTTTTCCGGATATTTTGATACCCATTGGGTAGTTATAACATGTGTGTTTTAAAATAGATTATTGCAAGTATTTTCAATGAAGGTACCAACTTCATTTCTTCAAATAAACCAGTTTCTATTCTACACGGAAGTTGATCAGGCCGGCAGAGGTCGGCAGTCTAACATATTATATGAACCAAAATGTCATCTACTCTGCTTAAAAAGCAAAATTTATTTTGGAAATTAGTAAAAACAATAAGCAAATTATGGGTTCCTCCTTCAGCTGTTGTGATTCTGAGAAGGTTGATGAAGGGTATGAAAAGCGTTACTGGGATTATAGTTTTTTCTTCAATTTCAATGATATATGTTAAATGGGTGTTTGGTTCTTATTTTCTAGGGTTCTATCAAGCGATGGTCGTTCTCCATGGCGAATCTTTACTTTCAAGGAGTTGCATTCAGCCACTAATGGTTTTAGTGAAGATAACAAGCTTGGAGAGGGAGGTTTTGGAAGTGTTTACTGGGGAAAAACTTCTGATGGTCTTCAGGTGAGATTTGTCTTTGTGTTTTATTGATGATTTCATGGCCAGAAATGCAATCTAGATCTGCCTAAGTGATCATGAATCTTGATATCCTTTTGCTTCAATGATAATTCAGATGCTAAACTATCTGCAACATCATTGCTTAATTTCTCAACCATATTGCAGATAGCAGTGAAGCAATTGAAATCGATGAATTCAAAGGCTGAGATGGAATTCGCCGTAGAAGTTGAAGTTCTTGGAAGGGTACGACACAAGAATCTGTTAGGACTGAGGGGTTATTGCGCTTCGGCTGAACAACGACTTATAGTATACGATTACATGCCTAATCTCAGTTTGTTATCTCACCTCCATGGCCAATTTGCTGCTGAAGTCCAACTTGATTGGAAAAAAAGAACAAAAGTTGCCATAGGCTCCGCGGAGGGACTACTGTAAGCTTCCATAAATTAACACTTACTTCTACGCTTTTCAGCTTTTCGGATAACTGAATATTGCCCAACGGAACTACTATAGCATACAGGTCGTCCTTAGTTGGATTTCCATGCTTTCTAGCGTGTTTATCAGGAATGCTCCAACAAATAACCTGTAAAGTTGCTAATGCAACACTTTGTATTAAAAATGTTATAAAAAACTTGTTAAGATGACCAAAAGCGTCATATAAACTTATCTCTGATTTCGGAGTTTATAACCTTTCTGAAACACAGTTTTCTGGTGAATTTTGTTCTACATTGTTACCAAGTTATAGCAAGTAAAAGTAATTATTGTTAATACCTTCAATATCATGAGAATTGGTACTGTAAATCATAATATCTGTAGTCAATTTGTAGCAAGTTATATTTCTTCAATGCTTGACAACCATATACACGATGATGAACGTTTTATCATTTATGTATTTGAGACCATCGTGCTCATTCTGACATACACATATACATACATACATACACATATACTTACACATATACATACATACATACATACATACACATATACATACATATACTTGCTAACCAGAAGCTATGAGGATTCGAGCTTCATAAGATACATGAATCTATGCGTTTTGCCATATTAAAACAATGGTTGCCTAGTTATTAGCGATGCCGGCCCTTGGATTGAAGATATAATCAAGAAAAAGAAAGTAAATGGCCTACTTGGTTTTTATTTATGGATGCTTGGTTATTTTTATTAAAAAATATATTTATTTAATCATCGTTATACTTTTCTCGGCTGATTATTCATAGGCGAACAAATTAGGCTTTACACAACTTTCTAGTCATTATTATTCGCTACAACAAAATCGGGTTTATAGGACACTTCTAATTTTTAAGCGTCATAATAGACCTCCTTATAGGACTTAGTTTATAGAACCAAAAATAAAGCGTTCTATCTAAATAAACTTATTACAACACTTTTAGATAGAACGCTTTATATTTTGGTCCTATAAATTAAGTACTATAAAGCAGTCTATTGGGACGCTTAGATATCGGGGACGTCCTATAAACCCAATTTTGTTGTAGTGATTATCAGTCGTATACATTTTCAGTAAGTATTCGTATGATAAAGTCTGGTTATTTTTATATATGAATTTTATTTTCAATAACTACTCTCATTCACATTGAATATTAACAACCAGATAACTTTTCATAAAAATATGTATCTTAAAAAGACAATTTTATTTGATGTTGCAGGTACTTGCACCATGAAGTAACACCCCACATAATCCACAGAGACATAAAGGCAAGTAATGTACTCCTAGACTCAAACTTCGAACCACTCGTAGCCGATTTTGGGTTCGCCAAGCTAATCCCAGATGGTGTTAGTCACATGACCACCAGGGTCAAGGGCACCTTAGGATACCTAGCCCCTGAATACGCCATGTGGGGAAAGGTCTCAGAAAGCTGCGATGTTTACAGCTTTGGCATTCTCCTCCTCGAACTTGTAACAGGAAGAAAACCCATCGAGAAACTCCCCGGAGGAGTCAAACGAACCATAACCGAATGGGCTGAACCCTACATTGAAAAAGGCCGGTTTCGTGACCTGGCTGACCCAAAACTGAGAGGCAATTTCGATGAGGAGCAACTGAAGCAGTTCATAAATGCTGCTGCCCTCTGTGTGCAAAGTGAGCCTGATAGGAGGCCTAATATGAAAGAAGTTGTGGGGCTGCTTAAAGGGAACGAACCTAAAGGGAAAGTAATGCAGTTGAGGTTGAAGAGTGTCAAGTATGGTGACGATCTTGTGGCTATGGATCAAGCCAGTGATGATGATGACGATGATGGTGATTATGATGGGGACGGAAGGGGTGGTGGGTATGACGAAAGTGATGCTTATGGGGTGTTTGGTGCCATGAGTAACGTGCAGAGGATGCATGATCCGTACAAGAGGTATGCAGACAGAATGGGAAAGAAAGGTTGATATGAAGATTTTGTTTAATTAATTCAAAGAAGTCCAAAGTTTCATTTCTTTGATGCTTTGCCAGGAACTTCAAAGAAATCTTGCTTAATCTCCCATCACACAAAAATATGGGTTTAGAGGGAGCTTCTATATGTTTATGAAATTATTGGTTGTTTAATTTAATATTGTAAATTACAATATTTAATTTGGAATACTTTTTGGTATTGTTGAAAATTTGTCATTAATACATATTATATATATATATATATAGAGAGAGAGAGAGAGAGAGAGAGTGTTGAGATCAAACTAGAACATAATCAAAGTAAGAAAACATGAGAATGCGTTTATCACACGTGGTTATGATTCAATCAACCTATAGGATTTTGCTCTATAAGTAAATGTGATATGGATGTTCTCGTGTTATCTTACGTTGACCCTGTTATTGTTTAGCCCCACATATATACGGACACAATCAAATAAAAGCTGTAAGAATCATTGATCATATATTGTTTCACATTGTGAAACAACGTATATGAAAGTACAGGGTTGTTTCACATTTTGGAACAATGTCATGTGAAAGTATAGTGTTATTTTTTACTATGTGAAAACAAGAAAAATACAACAAATTCATCAAAAATAATTACATTGTAAAACAACACTGTATTTTTTCATGCATTGTTTACGGAAAAAAAATATTTGCACCATTAAACAACTTAAAAATATTACACTACGTTGAACCAAGTTAGTGGTATCCTCGGTACCACCAAGCCTCATATATGCATCTGCCCTTGATCTCTCTTTCGAATTCTCGTCGCTGCAGTTCTCTTCTTCTATGACCATATTATATTTACACACATACTCACACTTCAGGAGATCAAAGAAAGAGATTTGCAGGAAGCAGATTTCGTTTCTAAATTCAGACTCCGACAATTCAACTCTGACTCCAATTCTGATTCCGACTCCAGATGTAGATTTGACATCACACTCGTCGATCTCTCCATGCCATCTTCATCTTCATCTCCATTTGATTTTGGTCTTTGACTTCACCTCTTGAGTTATAAGGTTTGTGTTTGTTTTTATGTTTGTGTATGTGAAATGATCTGTTATCCTTTGTCAGCCATTCCATTGGTTAAGTATAAGTCTGGTAAAGAGATATGGGATCATTTATCCAGATTATACAGTTACTTATCTTTGCCAAAACAATATCAATTCGATACAGAGATTCTTGCATTTCAACAGAATCATATGAAGTATCAAGATTTTTCTCTGCCATTTCTATATCATGGGAACAACTGACATCAACACAATCTATAGAATTGCACTCATTTGCAACTTACATTGCCAAGAGAGAAGAATAGTGTCTGGCATAACTTTTGCTCCATCATGATTTTGAGGGATTGCATATGGGATATTTGTACATCATACTCATGTTTCATCAATTTAATGGTCAATGAACCGTTAGTAGAGAAGATTATCTTACTTCTCATGCCACTAAGGGGGATATTCCACCAACTACTCTAGTCGTTTTTTTTTATTAACCTGGATATCCAACCCGCTATGCGAGCCGACTAATCTCAGCGCGACCACCTACTCTAGTCATTTTCGTAGTAGTCGACTCCTAGCAACCAAATTATAGGCCAACTATGATTTCTCAGGATGAGGGTGCATCAAATATTTGGAAAGCACAAGAAAGAAGTCACATTCATGTTGTTGTAGTAGTACGTAGAACCCACGATCAGAAAATAGGTCTAACACAACACACGGATTCAGAGAAGACCCTACATAATAAATAGAAAGATACAATGGAAAAAAAAATATTAACATAAAATGAACTTTATTAAAATATATTTAAATTATTTAGAGACTTAGGGGCCGTTTACTCAATTGCTTACCCGGTAAGCGCTTACCGATATGAGTCAACACTATATTTGTTTTGATGTGTAAGGTTTTTTGTACATCAAAACATATCGAATGCAACAATTTAATGGGTAAACGTTTACCTGGGTAAGAGTCGTCATCCTCACTTACCGGGTAAGACTCTCCATCATTCTCATCGCTCTTACTCGGTAAGATTTTTGGTCTTTCTCATGTTCATCCTATGAGGAAATTTATCCGTTAAGCATTTACCAAATAAGTGTTTAGTAAACGGCCCCTTAACATATATACAACATTATTGAGGATAAACCACGAGGGTGGTGCCTGATTGGTTTGAGCTTGACTCCAAAAGTCAAAAGTAAGGTTCAAATCCAAGGAGGAATAAAAATCCCCTTGTGGCCACGAAGGTTCAAATGCGGTGACTCCGGGCTATCTGCAAAGCAGGTGGTGGTCTTGAAATTAGTCGGCTCGCATAGCAGGTTGGATATCCTGGATAATAAAAAAAACATTATTGAGGATATTATTTTATTAATACTATATATTACAAGAATAATACTTTGCATGACAATAACTAAGCATGACATTTTGATTAAAAATATCCCTTTCTAAGTACAAGATAGAAAATGAATAGGCCACATGGTACCAAAAACTAAAGCACATTGTCATTTTTCTTTGTAATAAACATTTAAACACCTAGTTTCAACTATTGGTACTATTATCTTAATGTGATAAAACTTACAAGAGTTGAAAGGAGAAAAAAATGTTAAAACAAACCAAATCAAAAGAAGCTGATATATCTTATTTGAACGTAGGGTCTATTATAAGTATGATATATGCAGACCTTATCATGGCCATTAGGATCGAGAGGTTGCTTCTGTGAAACCCCGATTTGTGCACACAATAAAGGTGTTGTAAGTAGACAATAAAATAGGCGCTAAAAGTTAATGAGAAAATATAAAAGGAGAATAACGAATCTATGGTGTTGAAGTAGATCATATAATAAGGTATGATATGCAAGTTGAAAACAAGTGTACAAAGGACTTAAACAAGAAAGACAAGCAAGAAAGCCATGTCATATTAGGCACATCTAACCCAACACAAGAGCCCATTTTCCTATTCTCTACCATCCTCTCAATGCCCTTGTTAACCCCCTCTACCAAATTCTATTAAAACTTAGTCAATCTAGTCTTGTCGTTTTTGACTCACGTCTTCGAAAATGCCTAAAGCTGTCATGTCCATCATCACACTACCAAAATGACTCTCTTTTCCGGCGGACAAATCCGCCGGAAATTCGCCGGAAAAGAGGGCGCCGGTGATTCATTTTCCGTCGAGTTTTCTGGCGGACTTGTTACTTTTCCAGCGGATTTCGGCCGCCGGAAATCTTTCGCTTGCTTAATTAAGAAATTTGGTTTTACTTAATAAAAAAAAATTAAGAAATTTTCCGGCGGATATATCCGCCGGAATGTTTTCTCGCCGAAAAATAATTAATTATATAAGATTTTAATTTTTTTTTACCGGCGACCGGATCCGCCGGAAATCCGCCGGTGTTTTTTTTATATTTATTTAAATATTCATATAGTTTTAAAAATTATTAAACAATTTCAATTTTGCCGGCGGATGTTTCAGCCGGAAATCCGTCAGAAAAAGAATTTCATTATAAAAATTTTATTTTTTGTTTAATTTTTCAATAAATAGTTAAAACTTGTAAATCTGTAAAAATATGGATAAAACTAAAAAAATAAAATACAACCAAATATCATACATTGATTAAAGTAAACAGTTGTTACAAAACATATACAATTTAAAGTATCACACAATGTTACAAACAAACTAAATTGTTCCAAATAAACAAACAATATTCAATTTGATGGTGGTGGGAATTGTGATTGACGGAGTTCGTTAACCAAAGCAGTCATATCATTCATTTGTTTCAGAGGTTGCTCCTCCACCGTCCGTCAACGCTGATTTTCTTCTTGTAAATCCGGAACTTGGGCCTCTAAGTTTACAATTTTCTATAAAAATTAATAAAACGTTATAATATTTAATATGAATTATAAACTAGATAGATAAACATCAAAAAAAAAAAGACACATACCCGCTTTTCCGAAGACGATGAACCAGCTTCCGTGTAGTTGCCGATCAAGACACAATTGAGATCTTGGTTGTACCCAAACCCAAATAGACGACTTTTTTTGCTTCTCCCAACCGCTTGCTCCCACAGCTCTTTATCAATTAAGGGATAGGTAGAGGGATCATCGCCGTATCTTTGGCTAAGACCCGTTGAATACTCATCCTGTATATGGTTTAAAAAAGATTGCAAGTCAATTTTGACAGCATAACGACTGTAAATGAGACGTTTCCAAGCAAAATAATAGTGATAGATACGAAAATTGTATCCAAAACAATCCTAACGTTTGCCCAACAATTGGCAACCCAAACTAAAGCATAATATATACGTAATTTCTAACGTAAACTATACGGTTGTTTGCCCAACAAATGGCAACCCAAACTAAAGCATGATATATACGTAATTTCTAACGTAAACAATACGGTTGTTTGCCCAACAAATGGCAACCCAAACTAAAGCATGATATATACGTAATTTCTAACGTAAACAATCCTAATGTTTGCCCAACAAATGGCAACCCAAACTAAAGCATGATATATACGTAATTTCTAACGTAAACAATCCTAATGTTTGCCCAACAAATGGCATCCCAAACTAAATAATGAAATATATACGTAATTTCTAACTTAAACAATTATAATGTTTGCCCAATAAATGGCAACCCAATTATAATAGATAGATATATTTACCATGACTTGGCTACACTTAGTGGTCACGTACCCCCCCGAATCCGTAGATGCGGCATCTCCACTCGACCTCTTCTTGTGTGTGTAATCGAATAATTCCACAATGGTCGGGGGCACGCCATCTTTTTCTCGTGTCTACAAAGGTCAAATTATACAAACATGTGTTAATTATAACATGTTAAAAATCAAGCTACTAAATTAATGAGTTTTAGGTTCTACCAGACGAGCACCATGCTCCGAAAATGGTATCGATCCACCGATGTGTAGCGAAACTTGGCTATCACGGTTCTCACGCGCCACACCGGAAACAACTTTCCAATACGTTCCATGAAAGCATAATACTTCTATTAAAGCCCAATACGATTCATGAAAGCCCAATACGGTTTATTAAAACCCAATACGATCCAT